TTTAATTGTTAGGAATAAATAAACAAAGATGATCTTATATTTGAATAATCTAACTAAAATAAAGGAAAAAGTTGAAATTATTACAAAGAAAACGTTAATAAACCTTCCAATCATTTATTGTTTGATTGAGATTACAACGTATTATTTGTACTATGCTAAACAAAAAAAAAATTTTTTTAATTTTTTTCTGAAAAAAACATACTTATTTCTTTCAAAAATTTTTATTATTCATTTTTTATTTCATGAAAGTGATTCAATAACTGAAAAGAATAATAAGAATTTATTCGTCGAAACTAAAAGATGATGCCTAAACAAAAAAAGAAAACGATCTTGCCAATCTTAATCTATATATCATGAATAAGAATTAATAATATAATAAATAATGTCGTTAACTAATTACTTTAATATATAATCTTGAGGGTGTGGGTATGGATATTGTTGGCTGTGGCTGTCGAATTTCTCTCTAACCACCTACATCCACACCCTCAAGTAAGAGAATACCGATGTCGTTTCAATCTTTTTCTATGTATAGATCCATAGTACGATCTTATGTTTGAACTGCATATACTAGATGACAATAATCAGAGAAAGAGTCTATTAGCAGCCTGTGGTTGTACGAATTTGTCGGAAAACAAACGAATATCTTCTGTATAATCTTATATGATTGTCGTATAAGTTCGCTGTCGTCCAAACGAAATCAATGTCTTGTTTCATTATATTTCATTTTTGAGTAGTTTTCTACACAATAAGTCTGAAACAACATAAAGATCAATAGAATTCAAATCATTTTGTAGATTTTTGTGCGAATAGACTAAAAGATAAAAACACAATACCACAAGAAAACTATAAACTTATGTGACATTTACATAAGAGTATACGAAAGATATTAGTATGTTTTCCGATGAATTCATGCAACCAATGGCTGATAATAAGCTCTTTTTCTCAGTATTCTTATCTAGTATATGTAGTTCAAATAGGAGATCGTACATGGATCTATAAAGAAAAAAAAAAGGTTGAAAAGTTGTCGTTACTTTTGGATCATCGTGTATACATTAATCTGTTTTCTTGACCACTAATTCCCTTCTCATTGGAAAAAGACGTTTATCTTCTGTTGAATTTTCTCTCTTGAAATTTTATTCAGAAAAAAAAACAAATATTTTTATTTCCAAACAATTATTCGTGTTTTTTCTATATGAACATTAAAAAAGCATGAGTATTGATTTGGTTTGATAATTTGAGTGAGATCATAGTTTGTCATCGAACTATAATAATGAAAACTGATTAAATTTGGTAAATGAGTAAAACTTCGTTCTATTGTTCGTTCGATACGTAAAACTTCATCAGTTGTTGTTTCCTTGTAAAGAATTATTGATAAGAACTGAACAGATGGAAAGTAAGTTTCATCCAAAAAGTCGATACTTGCATCAATCCAATCGAAGGCATTTAGTTGAATGAGTGTAGATGATCGAAATTTAGCCAAAGCTATTAATTGATCGATACCACCGAACAAATTAATTACACGAAGTTTTGGTAAAAATGGCAATATGTGTGAAAGATACATTCCTGGTGTTGTCAAACAAGTCGAAAGCGACCAGCAATGCATAAGTGGTTGAGCAACGCCTTGAAATAGAGGTGGTGAAGTCGAACACCACATTTCCATATTGAGATCTTCAACCTGAAATACTCAATAAATTTATTATTCAATACTTACAGATTTCTTTTTACATTTGAATTTTTGTCATTTATTTATTCACTTTTTCTTATTGCAACAATTCTTTTATAATTAGCCTATTTGTCTTCTTAAGAAACATTGTCTCTTTTAACAAAATCTTTTTCGCACTAATCTGACATATGAATACAAGTAGTCTTCATTCGAATAGCTCAAGTACAATCAAAATTAATAATCTACAATTTGACTGCTGCATAACAAAATTCTTTAGCAATAGATTGTATATATTAATGTATGTTTCGAGAAAAAAATGCAATAAGATATTTTATATTCTTTCTTTAGAAAAACAATTCGACAAAGCAGTTTCTCTATCGAATATAAAAAGTAGGTTTTTGTTATTTCCGTTGTTACATCAAACGAACAACATTCTAATGTATCTAGTTTGAATCGATGTATTTCAATATAGACAACTGACAAGGATAGGACCACTTACTTTTGGAAAACATTGAGACAAACGAGCAAACTCACCGATAACATATTCATGTTTATCGGGAATAAATGTAGATTTTTTAACAGAATGATTACTTTTTATAGAATCTATTTGATCATAAAGTTGAAGATTATAATTACAATCTTTAGGCCATGGAAGTGTGTAAAAATATGAGTAGTGTGACACTGGATCAAAAACCCATTTCGATCTTGGCCAAAAAGAACTGTTCCATCTAAAAACAAAAAAAAACCACAGATATTGTTTATTTTAGTCATTTATCATATTGTATATTGACAATTTAGTCGTTCTAATGGTTTTCTATAGTGCAGATGCACTAATTCAAAGTTTAAGTGAATACTAACATCCTGCAACTAAGTTTATGAAGAAAAAGTATTTTTGATGACTTTCTAAGTCTTAAAACAGCTCAAAGGGCGATTCGGTCTTTTGTATTAAAAATAAGTCAATGACGATTTTCGATAATATTGTCAACGTTTATTTTGCAACCTCTCTTAATCGATTCTTCGAAACATATTCATAGCACTCTCATAGGGTTGACCAAAAACCTGTTTCTGTCGATCTCATCGTAAAGTATGGTAATAGGTCGAAAAATCGATTCACAGATATATCGAAATAAATCTTCGCAATATCATTACCAGTCGATAATCACTTAATTTTAATGCGAAAACACTAAACATTTTGGTGGAAAGAAAAATGGTGTTATCTGCTTTCGTTCTTTGAATCGAAAAATAATATCAGATTCTCTATTTATCTATGATGTATTATATATATTAATGTCTTACCTGATTTCGTTTGGTTTTTCATAACAGCCAAGGATCAAAAGCCGAAAGGAGACATGTATTAATTTATTAAGGAATTGTAAGTTGATTGATAGATAATTTGCTGCTGATGAGTTCCAGTTTTCGTCGTCTATTTCAATGTATCGATAAATATCATCAGGTGATGGTGCCCATTGTAGAGTATAATCAAAAAATAACGTTCGCAATCGAATCATTGATCGAACAAGACGTACAAATATTGACCATGGAATAAAATTTACTCGGCTAATAAACGCAAAACTTTCAATATTAGCCAAAATGTTTATTTCATCAGATTTTATCATTTGTAACAATCGTAGACGTTCTGCTTCATCAACATTATAATTATCAAATAAATGTAATTTGAGATGTTTTAATTGAGGCATATGTACAATAAACAATAGCAAATCAGATAATTGTAAAAAAAATCCAGAAAAACTTGATAAAATATAAGGATGCAGAGCGAATGACACTTGTGCAGGAAGAGAACTATCACATGTGAATAATTGAAAACGATGTAAATACCGCTTGAAAACCAGATTAATGCTTGTATCATTTACATTGTTTAATGTTAAATTATTCAGTTGAGTTGCTTGTTCAAGAACATAAGTGAGATCAGCATCCTTAGCAAAAAAGAAAGAATTGAATTCACAAGTATATACAATAAATAGAATATATGTTGCATATATATATTGTGAAAATGAGTTGAACGCAATCAATTTTAAGTATTCGTTCTATTCGAGAAAGTCCATCCTTGCCCAGCTCTGTTACAAATTACAGCTAATGATTTTGCTATTTGTTTTAATACAATCAGATAGATATATTCGATTACAGTTGAATGATCATAAAGAATAACATCAATCATTGTTATTCTCTCAAAGCGCAGAATACTATTCGACATTTGAAAATATTTTGCTAACGGATGTTTTCAATTTCGTTTAAATCAATAGCAACTGATAGATAGTTAAGACTGATGGATCAAATATAAATTCTTTTCATATCAACTTTATCATTATTCTTAGGTTAAATAACAACAAAGTTTTATGAGAATGATTATTTTATAAATTATACTATGCACTGAATCTTCTATTTTCATTTCATATAAATGATCATTGAATGTGCCAACAAGTCATATATATATAAAAAAAAACAAGTCTTTAGTAGAAAAAAGACAGATGTTTTTTGTCCAATATCAGGACATAATGAGAAGCATGTGAAAAAGTAAAACAACATTTTTTGTTGCTTTAGGAGGGATCTGAATCACATAAAGCCTTAGTTAAATCGATTCAAATCTGAATTTGAAATATCAGAATGAAAATTGAATCAAATTCTAGTGAAGATTTTCTTGTGTGTTATAATCTTCGAGTCCAACTTGTAAATTTATATCAGTCTACGAAAGTTTATACAAGGATATAAATCATGCTATTAGATACTTTATAGTGTACTGCATTGGACTCCAAACTCCAACTCCATTGGAGTTGGAAAATCGAAATTTTTTGGAGTTGAGAAAAAAAATCATTGTTTGAAGTTGGAGTTGGAATGATTAACAGGAGTTTATTGAGACAATATCGAAATTGCATTAGTTAGACAGTCAACTATGTTTACAGGTAAATCAGCAGAAAAAAAAGTAAATTCTATATAAATCAAAGCTAAACGATTTCCATTTGTTCACTAATTAATCTTGTAATAATCTATTTTAAGCACGAGAATGATCAAGATGTTGCTAAACTACCCCAGAAAAAATTTGGAGTTTTTTGGAGTTGGAGTCAGAAATACCGACAATGCAGTTCACTAATACTTTAGCAGATAGTAAAGTTCAGATGAAAAATGCTTGTATCACTTGAATGATCTCTCATAAAGATCCAAAGCAAAGATTTCATGTAAAACTTAATTAATGTACAATAATTTTGGAACACTACTTATCTATGTATTGTTTTGGCAATTCAAATATATTTCACTCTATTGGGCATGGATATTTTTAGAACTCATTTTTGGCTCACTTGAGGGTGAGGGTGTGAGAGTCAACACAGATCTTAAAACATCCACACACACAAAATACATATAACTTCACTTGTGTAAAAGTTGCAATTTAATTCAATATCATATTTTATTAAGAAGTGTCCGCTCTATAGAACTACAGTGTTCGATGACTTTTAGCATTGTCGTAAACGAACATATATGAATTAGCAAAAACTTGTTTATACGTCGTCCAAACTAATTTGTCAGACCTTTCAAAAATTCCCTCATAACTTCCGAATAAAATCTGACACAGAATTTCTAAGCTCATATTCAAAAAGAGCACTAAATTCCGATTCTAATTCATAGGTTTTGGCTCCTCTGAAATATTTTCAAGTGGGCCAAAAAAATGAGCAAATATTTTGTCTTAAAACTTTTGGCTCACCCATTATATGACAACAAACGATCATCTCGGAGTTTACTGCCCTTGACAACTTTCTTCGATGATTTCCTGAACATTGATAAAATTTTCTCATCGTACAAATCTGACTATAAACTGACATTAAAAGAACTTAATAAATTATTTTAAGAGAAAAAAACCTAAATGATGGGCTTGTCAAAGAAGTGTACAAGTTGTGAATCATGCCGCCATATGCTCAAATAAATTAAATATACCTGTAATGAATGTAAATGTAATGAACTTATCTTAGAGAAAACAGTAGATGGTAGGTCATAAACAATACGACTGCCAACAAAATCAGCATTTATCTTCAATAATTCCATGTAACATGATATATATGGAAATACGTTTGCACACAAATAACGAAATATTTTTGATTTCATAAACGTTGATAAATGACGAATATCAACTGAATATCGATGTTCACGAAGTAAATTGTTACAACGAAGTTTATTATCATAATCGAAAAATGAATATAAATTTTCCATAGGTGTCAAATACGACATAATTTCGAGTAAAACAAAATCAGGCAGCAAGACGAAACCACACATATTCTCTTCTTTATCATACATGTAGACAAAAAAATGACTCTATTTATTGACTGCTCCATTCTAACAGACATGCGCGGACGTTTATTGTTTTAATAATAGCTAATCAAATATCTTTACAGTTTGAATGTATAAAAATGGAATTTACATATTCATTGCTTGCTTTTTTCTTTAACAAACGACCTTTTTGTTTTTATCGATATGTCGTATCGAAGTTATACCGGTCGAACAAGTTATAACTTCATCAAAATGGTTGACGAAATTATTTCAGTTGACCGAAACACCAAACAAATATCGTTTTATTGGTGATATTAAAAACAACATCTAAAATTATTGCATATTTTTCATTTTAAAAACATTTTTATCGTTTTTTATACAACGAAACTCAGACGAAGTTATTCAAAAAAATCAAATATTTTCGTTTTTATTGTAGTTTATATGATTAAAGATTTAATTTGCTGTCACTTAGGTCTGTAACCAAAGAAAGAGATCTATCTAATAATATGCTCTGATTTAAACAGGCCACACTCATGCAATGCGTATTTCAGACTTTTGTTTTCTTGAAGTATAGTTTATATGTATGTTGTTTGAATATCATTGATCAATTTATGTTTAACTACTTATTAGTTTTATTATTATATCTCGAATACAGTTTCATGAAACAACACACATTTATGAAATGTTCATTGAAAAAAATGCAAACAGCTACTGGAAGAACAGAAGCTTCTCCTTATTAATGATTCTATCTATTTCAAAGTTACATCCTTTTTGGACTGAACTATGTTTGATATACCTTTGGCGTTTTACCATAAATATAAGAAAAATAAATGAGGTTGATTATCTTTCATTTCTGTACAGTTTAAAAAAGAAACGAATTTGAGAAAAATGACCAGGATCTTAAACAAATTATTTCAAAAATAAATAAAAAGATTATATAACAAAATGAATCAAAACTGACGTCTCGATAGTTGCTGCTAGTCATAATTCGCCTCTTCTCCTTCTTCTTTAGTATGTATTATTTTGGTCTTGTGTCTATTTGCTTCATTGGTATGTATTACATTCTCTTTTCTTTCTGATACGTGCTTGGTATGGTGAGATATCTGGGAGCAGTCCATTTTATGAGAAGAGAGAGACATTTAATCATTTTTGCTTTGCACGAAGTGGAAAACAAAGAAAAAGTGTATACAAGTAACATCACTAGCATTCTCTTTTCCAACCTAAAGAATAAAATATTTATAGATCAAGTTAAAATTGTAAGTTTATTCTGCACAGCTTGATGTTTTTTCGATAGTGTAGTTCTTCACTTAACGTATGACCTATCCTAAAAAAATCAATTAAAAATATAAACATTCTATACAGATGTAAATTTTTCTGTTCAATATAATTTCTTCTTGTTGAAAATCTCGAAGTTTGAGATATATTACAATAACTTTTAACTTTGATTTTCATTTGCTTTTGCTAATTTCTTTTTAAATGATCTTCAAATTGAGTTTGGTGGGAATGACGAAAAACTAAAAAAGTAAAAAAAGTAAAATGTCAAAATGGTGGACATATACATCAGCACGTATTATATGTGCTTTTTGTAATTTTTCATGTAATTGTTTCCTGAGATACTCATATATACCCTAATCTCTATCCTATACATGAGTGTCTACTAGAAACTTCACATTGTTGCAATTGCTGAGGTCTTAACCAAGAAAACACAATAAGGGTGTGGGTGTGTCATAAAGGATAAATCACATACCCACACCCACACCCCACCCACACGATCACACAAGGAGCGAATACTAGATATATCACAACAAAGGAGAACAAAGATGAATAACATATTATGAGAGATGTCATGTCCAGAGATGAAAAGAAGAAAAGATATAACATGATCTGGAGCCGCTAACAAATACGATATGTCGACTTATGAATCAGTTCTAAATTAGTGAAATATTAGTTTGTTAATGTATAAATTAAATTGTAGTCAATGTTGATTTCAACTTTATCGAACTCAAAATTAATCATGACGAGTATAAGATTTGTATTCATCTTGAACTCACACTTGCGTAAATTCAGGTGTTAAATATAGGAGAAAACAAACTTTCGTCAATTGCTATGGAGACGATCAGACCATTTCTCGAAGATATTTTACGGCCGTCGTAACATTCGTCTGTACTGAACTTGAACTATGCATCGACGCTAGACGTTTTTTTTCCACAAGGTTACCCATTGTATTTTTTGATAAGAACATCGCTTATAGCCAAACAGTGGACACATATGTTTTGCATCAGATATGAGTCAGTCTAATCTTCATCTTCTTGACTTACCCAATGAATTACTCTTTATTATATTGAATAAATTTGGCAATGTTAATGCTTTATATTCATTATTGGGTCGTATCAATGAACGATTTGACTGTCTATTACAAGATAATGTTTTTACGAAAACTCTTCATTTGATCAAAATATCATCGACTTATGATTATATTTCTTCACTTGATGATTCAATACTTAGTCGGTTTTGCTCTGATATATTGCCGAAAATTCATCATAATGTGAAACATCTTACTCTTGAACCAAAATCTATGAAACGTATTCTTCTTTGCGGCAACTATTCGAATTTAGTTTCTCTCAAAGTATTTCATTTCACACAGGATATTGCTTTCTTTTATTTTACAGGTAAATATTTCATAAATATTCTTTCAAAATAGAAAACTCACAATATAATGAACACATATTATCTAATTATACTTTAGATCAGTCAATCTTTCGACATATTTTCAAAGATCAAATAATCGAACTTACTCTTTTAGTTGACGATGATTTATGTAGGGGAAGATCGTTGAAAGATTATACTGTAAATGTATATGTACCTATCTTGACGTTTTTTAAAAGACTAAAGCATCTAAGTATTAGTATTCCATACTTTTATGGTGATTATCCATCTTTATCAATTTGTAATTTATCATCAACTATGTTTTCTTCTTCAATTCTTACGAAATTATCTATTGATGTATATAGTTTTGATGATTGTCGTTGTTTATTGGATGGTCGTCTCAAACAATTGACCATACTTATTGTTCGAATTTACCAGATCAACTATCATTCATCGATCATTCACATGATTGTAAGTTTAGATTTCAGAATTCTTTTTAATCGAGCGAGTCATATCGATCATATTTAATAATTCGATGTATTTTGTTTGTTTGATAGACAAATGTACAAAAAGGCATGTCCCTATAGATAGTGGTAGTAAAATACTTCCTGTTGAAAAACATTGATCTGTTGGATAGTTGTCGAAGAGTTTTTGTTTAACAGATTTCTGCTTCCCAACCTCCCACATCAGTTGTCTGGACAGACAGAACACAGATTCGACCTGCCCACATTGTTTTGTTCTCGCATTGATCGTCAACGAATTAGTGAAGTGCGGACACACAAGCATTCCAACAGGCAATCTATGTTTGCTGAATTTTTCTCTATGAGAAAGAGAATATACTTTTACGTATATGTTTGTATTTTTTTTAGGATGATAATTTACCTCATTTGAAATGTTTCTCATTAATATGTTATGAAAAAACTGATGCGTACGATAATCGAGTACTTCCTCTTCTTCATCGTATGACATATTTGGAAAAATTAACATTATATCTTCGTTTGCATGGTCGAAATATATTTGTTGATGGTACTCATCTTCATCGAGAAATTCTTATGCATATGTCACAACTTCATGCATTCATTTTTTATATAAGTACTGAAATTGAAATCAATG